AGGAGGTAGTGTGGCACTGGGTGTGGCTAGGTAGCAGTGTGGCACTGGGTGTGGCTAGGAGGCAGTGTGACACTGGGTGTGGCTAGGAGGCAGTGTGGCACTGGGTGTGGCTAGGAGGGTAGTGTGGCACTGGGTGTGGCTAGGAGGGTAGTGTGGCACTGGGTGTGGCTAGGAGGGTAGTGTGGCACTGGATGTGGCTAGGAGGGTAGTGTGGCACTGGGTGTGGCTAGGAGGCAGTGTGGCACTGGGTGTGGCTAGGAGGCAGTGTGGCACTGGGTGTGGCTAGGAGGGTAGTGTGGCACTGGGTGTGGCTAGGAGGCAGTGTGGCACTGAGTGTGGCTAGGAGGGTAGTGTGACACTGGGTGTGGCTAGGAGGGTAGTGTGGCACTGGGTGTGGCTAGGAGGTAGTGTGGCACTGGGTGTGGCTAGGTAGCAGTGTGGCACTGGGTGTGGTTAGGAGGCAGTGTGGCACTGGGTGTGGCTAGGAGGTAGTGTGGCACTGGGTGTGGCTAGGGGGCAGTGTGGCACTGGGTGTGGCTAGGAGGCAGTGTGGCACTGGGTGTGGCTAGGAGGCAGTGTGGCGCTGGGTGTGGCTAGGAAGCAGTGTGGCACTGGGTGTGGCTAGGAGGCAGTGTGGCACTGGGTGTGGCTAGGAGGGTAGTGTGGTAATGGGTGTGGCTAGGAGGCAGTGTGGCACTGAGTGTAGTGTGCCAGATTTGTGAGATATCTCAGCCAGCGCCGTTAGCCAAGAACACCTGTATATCATTAGTGGTACACTCATGTACCTAAACACCTGCCTCCTCTCTCTCTCGACAAGCCGCCGGCTTCCTGTCCTGGTCGTGGCCCAGAGGCTAGGCCACACACACAACTCCTCATATGAGTACCGGGTTTCCGATCAAAGTACCTACAAGTTCCAGTGCTTAATGAACCACTACTATATAAGACTGTCACACTGCGGCTCCAGCATGGAGTCCATATCTAGTCAAGCATAAGACTAAACTGGAGAAGGTTCAAAGGTTTGCCACCAGACTAGTACCCGAACTGAGGGGTATGAGCTACGAGGAGAGACTATGGGAATTAACCCTCACGTCACTGGGAGACAGAAGAGTTGGGAAGGACATGATCACCACATTCAAGATTCTCAAAGGAATTGATAGGGTAGATAAAGACAGATTATTTAACACAAAGGGCACACGCACTAAGGGACACAGGTGGAAATTGAGTGCCCAAATGAGCCATAGAGACATTAGAAATAATTGTTTCAGTGTCAGAGTAAGAACATAAGAACAAAGGTAACAAAGGCCCATACGAGGCAGCTCTTATCTATAACCACCCAATCCCACTCATATACATGTCCAACCCACGTTTGAAACCATCAAGGGACCCCACCTCCACCACGTTACGCGGTAATTGGTTCCACAAATCAACAACCCTGTTAACGAACCAGTATTTACCCAAGTCTTTCCTAAATCTAAACTTAACCAATTTATACCCATTGTTTCGTGTTCTGTCTTGTATTGATCCTTTAATACCCTATTAATATCCCCTTTGTTATGTCCATTCATCCACTTGTAAACCTCTATCATGTCACCCCTAACTCTTCGCCTTTCCAGTGAATGCATTTTAAGCTTTGTTAGTCTTTCTTCATATGAAAGATTTCTAATTTGGGGAATTAACTTAGTCATCTACGCTAGACACGTTCAAGTGAATTTATATCCATTCTATAGTATGACGACCAAAACTGAACTGCATAATCTAAATGGGGCCTAACTAGAGCAAGATATAGCTGAGAACCACACCAGGTGTCTTGTTACTAACGCTGCGATTAATAAATCCAAGTGTCCGATTTGCCTTATTCCGAACATTCATGCATTGATCCTTTGGTTTTAAATTCTTACTAATCATAACTCCCAGATCCCTTTCGCAATCCGACTTCGCAATCTCAACACCATCTAGCTCGTATCTTGTAACTATCATCATTACCTAGCCTCAGAACTTTACATTTATCAGCATTAAACTGCATCTGCCAATCTTTTGACCATTTCAAAACCCTATTTAGATCAACTTGAAGTGACAGTGAGTCGTCTTCTGTGTTTATTTCCCTACCGATTTTTGTATCATCAGCAAACTTGCAAATGTTGCTACTCAAACTTGAATCTAAATCATTTATATATATTATAAACAACAGAGGACCCAGGACATAGCCTTGAGGCACTCCACTTAAGAGTAGTTAACGGATGGAATGCATTACGCAGTGATGTGGTGGAAGCTGACTCCATATACAATTTCAAATGTAGATATGGTAGACCCCAGTAGGCTCAGGAATCTGTACACCAGTTGATTGACAGTTGAGAGGTGGGACCAAAGAGCCAAAGCTCAACCCCCGCAAGCACAATTAGGTGAGTACATACACACACATACAAAATATTACAAAAAAAAAAGTTGCGCTCTCTGGATCCCAACCAAGCAATTAGATACAAAATATGAACAGAAATTAAAC